TTTCTCAGCAGGTCCTTACAGGTTTAAGACAAAAGTACACATTAATTATTCATCATATGAATAAATCCAACAACTTAAATGTATCATGGACTTCGAATTATAGGACCTTCTCAATAAATTAAAACTGACAAGACATTGTCCTAACAAAATGAGATAGAACAGAGCCAACAACCTTAAGAAACAACCTGTCAACCAAACACCAGGCAATGTATGAAGAAAGACCTTCGTGAAAACAATGGAAATACCTATCCACCACAACATGAACTAATTACAGTTAAAGTATCTTGTATCTCCATATATCAATATCCATGTATCAGTATCCTTCCAAAGATTTCTGGTCATACCATGTAACCAGTTGGATGGTTCATCCATTTTCTCAATGTATGGGGGTTGTTGTCCCTCCTCCGTCATATACTTCGGAAGAAATATCCAGTTTTATTGCCAAGCTCACGTTGGACAATAGATTATGTTTAAGACCTATAGCAAATGGTTTGACAATCCCCCCTACCCAAATATCTTGAGACTCGTAATATAGAGCAAGAAATCCTGTTTTCAAACATCCTTTCTCCGCAAATCATATCCAACATCCCAAGACAAGAATATACAGGTATCAGCCAATTCCTTCGCATGGACTTTTAAATTGACAGTCACTTTAGAATTTTTTCAAAACCGGTATATTGTTTAAAGGCAAGGAAATCCAAGACCTTGGTAAATCTGTCTTTATAACGGTGATCTCCACTTCCTGTTGCGTATCTTATTTTCCACGGAATGGATTTTATAGGAAAGGTGCTGTCGTAGCAAAGTGCTCGTTTGTGTTACTTGTGAATCTGATGTGTGTACATGTGTGTTTGTGACAACACCACTTACCTGCAACGAGGACCAGAAGCACAGCCAATATTCAACCACTTCCTGACAACATGTATATCAATGCTACCCTTTTTTTTTTACTTAATTCTTTACTAATTTAGCTGACTTGGACTAGATCAATGTCCAAGAAACAGATAGCTAGGTTGGTAAAGTAACTGTGCTAAGAGTTTGGAGATACCAGATCTGTAATCTGGACGAGTCAATTACATTTATACTCATCATTTTTCAGCACAGCCACTTGCAACATCATTACATGTTTCACTGTCTATTGTTAAATTTCATCAATCATTGACCTAGTTACTTCCATCATGCATGAAACTGCTGTACTAGAGCTCGTCAACCTGATCACTAGGGCTGTCAACAAGTGTCCTGCATACAATTACAGTCACAGTTTCAAATTTCATAAAAATCGTAATTTATCAAATACTTATAAAAATCCTGCTGATTAATTGTATACACAACGCAGTGCCTAGTCCTTGTTGCAACGACTTCTGACTTTAATCATCTTAACATCTTGGTCACTTTTTTTGGGACTGTTTGCCTTTGACATTACAAGAATTCTGAAAATATTTGTGAGGCAACAATTTTCAGTTATCTGTACCCCGGTTTGCAAAGGGGGATAACCCAAGGTTGAATACTGGCTGCTCGGCTGGTCCTTTACAACAGTCCACTGCTCCTCCCTTAACAATTACGGCAAATGTTCCAACAGTTCAAACAGGCTATTTTTTTGGTACGACTTTGATAAAGAGCATTTTTCAAGTCAATGCAATAAGTTAATTACTTTTTTGTCCAAATATTCAGTCTTTGCCAAAATAAAATCAAGAATAGTTGTTTTCACGTTTGAACTGTTGGAACTATAAAGCACCAAACATTTGGGTAACATTCAAAATCAACAAAGGCAAGACTGAAGTCTTTCCAAGCTAAAAAATCTTTGCCTCAACAATTGTTCAAAATTTGACACTGATCTTTTGATTTTTCTTTCTAAAAAAAAAATTCAGAACCTTTTTAAAAAATAATACTAACTAACCAATGATGATGAGGGCAAATTAAGTCCAATTGAAATAGTTTTTGTTATCATCGTGTTTGAACTGTAGAAACTGTTACCAGATCTGTTAGCTTGGATGACCTTTAACCTTTTCACCTCCAATACCTCTGGGATGCTCATTAACAGGAGTCATCCCCTACAGTAGTTGGAGGAAGCAAGGATAAAGTAAGAGCAAACTATACACCACATACAATATAGAGCATCAAATCGTTGTGTTCAGGAGAAACTTTCATCTTTTTTATTATGTACATGTCTGCACTATGAAACCTTGTTAACTCTGTACATTTCAGTTTTAGAATGAAATACAGACAAGTTTTCTCGATGAAAGAAACAGGATAAATTGTATTGATTAACAAGGAATCACAGTAATGTGTATTGTAGAACATATATTCTTTAAAAGTCAGGTCATTGTTCTGCAAGATTCCTTCTTTCCAGCAGCTGGATGTATCCCACCGCTATCAAATTCGGTGTATAAAACATCTTTGTTCGAGATTTTCCAGATGAAGTGTGGCAAACAAACAGGCACCCTGTTATTACTTGGTTGTACGGACCACATCACATAGCTGGTGCCCCTTGTAGTAGCCAATAGTACTCAATCAAATGGAACTCATATTCTTTCAAACATTTGATGGGAAATGATTTTCTTTGGGGGGTTTTCCTCCCAAATTTCTCAGACCATTTGATCAACAGTAACTGAAATCCCACCGATGTCCATCACAACTAACACGCTATGATCAAGGACATTCCGAGACCAACTAGACATTGTTACCAGTACACAGTAATCCCATTCTTTTCTTCCTAACAAGCATTGTAGCTTAAAGTACCGACAGTCAAAACATGTTCATCAATATAGTGTTTAGTTTGCTCAACATTTCATGTCTGCCTAATGAAACACATTAACACTGCACCAAGGATTGTGAAGCTATCTCCCAACAAATTATAAATGGTCATCAAAGTTCATTTTTTAAACCATCTATGTGCATCATCTGCAATGCAAAATGGGACAGAGATAGTGTCAAAATCCTCGGTACATGACAATGCACCAAGAAAATTCAGTTCACAACCAAAATGATAGAAAATATCTTTTAAATTAATCAATTATAACATATTATTGTAGACAGCATTTGAAGAGTTTCGTACTTCTAGTCAACAGTTAAAATTGCTACATAAATTTCCTTGGTGCATTTTTTCAATCACGTAACAGTTTAGGAAAATCTTCAGCCTATTTGTTCAAAACTTTATATGTCCTGAACAAATAATGTTGAAGACTTTCCTTCATACAATTCAATTATACCTTGTACGAGAACAAATATTGCAAATTTACTTGGGTTTCAATTGTCAGAATGGTACCAGAAAAAGCCAAAATATTTGTGTGCAAATACACTTCTATTTTTTGTTTGACATTCTTCTTTGGTATATATATGTATTTTTTGTTACTTCAAGGGTGTTAATGCTAGGATCTGTATATTCTATTTATATTTATGATTTTTTCTAATAAAATTGAGAAAACCTGAAGGTGGTAATCCAATATCCATGATTGAAGTTTTGAAATGGCTGTGGCTGCCTAATTTGTTCAAAGCCTGCATCGCAGATTACAAAATCATGCTGTTCTACAACTACACATTTTCACTGTTGACAATGTGGTAGGAAAACCTTTGCAACATGAAAGAAACCTGGACTTGGTACATAGGATTCAGTTGGACAGGAAAATTCAGGGAGTGAGGGGGGGGGGGGGGGGGGGGNCCTAGAGATATAAATGTTCTTGTACAAGATTAAAAACATTCCCAAAAATAGCTCTTTCCTCATAATTGATGAAAACTTCAGAGAATTTTTGTCCATACACATGGGTGTCAATAGGTCTCTGCCAATTACACTCCCCATACAACACTGCCTCCATGTTCCATATTCTGCTTATATCAACAAATTATCTTAATATCTTTTTTGTGTGTTTAAAAATAAAATCTGATTACCATGAATTGATTATAATCCCCCCTTCCAATAAAATGTTTTGGTATTCAATCATTGAATGTGCGAACAAAATCTGACAACCATGAATTGATGATTATAATCCCCCTTCCCAATAAAATATTTTTGTATTCAATCATTGAATGTACAAATGAAAAATCCATTTTTTACATCATTAAAATGACCAGTTAACTGGTTTCCAAGAATATTTAAAGAAATTACTGGTAGTCTTATATTTTTGGCAGCTATGGCCAACAGAATGAAGGACCCCCTCTCAATTTCTTTTATCAACACCCAGTGTACCGAATATTCACCAAAGTTTTTATCAACACCCAGCGTACCGAATATTCACCGAAGTTTTATCAAAGTAAGAAATGGAGCTATTTTGAGATAAATACTACTGATGTATCAGCCTTTTCTACAGAATAAAGACAAACCAGACATTGACAAATGAATGTTGTACTAAAGGTTTTTTAACTAAAATTCTTGGTTTTTAAAGAACAATTTTCTTGAAATTATTTTGTACATCAAAAAGAAATCATTTTATGGATTCAAAGTAAGTGTAAAATACTATTTTAAATGCAATTAAAATACCACATATTACAATAAGTTATTTATTAGATAATTAACCAACTACTTTTCAAATTCTTCTTTGGATTAAAATGCTCTGCTGTTAAATAAAATCTATTTTTCATACATCACACAGGTTAAATTGCATAACATGTATTGTTTGTATATTTATTGTTAAAACAGAATTTTTCTTATTGTATAAATTCACAGTAATTTTGGGTGTCAAATTACACAATCTGAATTACATATTGAAAGAACTTATTTTGAAAAGGGAAATTCATATACTTGCAGTTTCAACGTATCTACACGTGAAGATATAGCCATTACATATATATATTTCTTTCCAATTCTATCATTATCTGGAGATACATGTATCCATTTTCATTTATTTCATTATTTGATTTTAGTGAAGGAAGTTATTTCTAAACAGAACTCTGTATCTTGTATGAAACATTTCCCTAACAGCAGAATTTCTTGAGACTTATTCAATGGTCAATGTTTAAGTTTGCTTAATTCATCGAAAAAGCCAAAAGGAATTGAACGCTACACCTACCTTTTGCCCCTCCTGGGTCCATTTGACTCATATCTCCAGTTTCGTTTGCCGATTCCTCGCGTGCCCATTCCTCTAATGCTTCGTCGTGATCATTGTCGCTTTCCTCGCCAGTTCCAGAGTGCATTGTCATTGTTCCGTCGGGTGGCATGTCAACATACATGTCCAGCCCCCCTGTGTCGTCCTTGTCCTGACCTTCGACCTTAACTATGCTAATGTCTGGGGTCATTTCAGCAGTACTTGATGGCGACGGTTCCTGCTTTTCTTTATAGCTGAAAAAGTTTAACATAAAAACCATGTGAATACAAATAACATTTGTTGTAGTCAATCTAGAATATTTTTCAGGCAATATATGCTCTAGCTTTTAACAATTTTCAAGACAAGCATTCAAATCTTTCCAAATATCCTATGGTAGACATTTTTCTTTGTAGAAAAAAAAATGGTCCACCTAATTGAACTGCGAGGACTTGCATATATACAAGTGTATAGGTATATCAAGTGTATCTAATGTTTCTGTTTCCCAACAGAATAAGATGAATCAAGGAAATACAAACCTAGAAGGGTCCTTGCCACTGTCTACCACAGGTGACGCCCTCTCCATACCACTGTCACTGTGCCCTGCACTGCTACCCTGAGAGTGGGACCGGGCTATTTGTGCTGGTTGGATGGGAGTGGATGTGGGTGCTGCCATCGGGGAACCCATTGGCTGACTGCTTGGGGACTGACTGGCACTCCCTATAGCAAACGATGCTTTGGAAGAAGCACCTACTGGAGACAAGGACACTGGGAAGGGTTGGCGCTGTGATTGTGAACTACTAGTGCTGGCAGCAGCCTCTTGCATTTTGTTAGGTTTTGGGACTTGCACTAGTTCTAGGTCTGTACTGCTGAAATTTGGAATATGAAAGTGTTCTGGAGCCCTTTCTTGACGGAATGAAGGACCTGGCATAACATGAGATGACATATCTGGCATTCTGTGCATGGCGCCAGATGATGAAAATGACTGTTGTAGTGATGTTAATGGCGATGATAAAACATTGGACTTTGGTGGGAATGATGACTCTTGGTGGGCATGGGATGAACTTTTTGATGAACTTGTGGTTGAGGTGGTGTTGCTGCCATCTCGATTACTTCCAGTGATATTCACCACACGAAGGTCAGTACTGTCTGTGATTTGGCTAGCTATAGAAATGGCAACACTCTTTTGAACAGTCTGTCGTGAATCTGACGGCTTGTTTGGATCTTTGTTAATTGGTTCAGTTTGTACAATTTCCAAACTGTCTTCAACAATTTCTATGACACCGGGCTGGGAATTCCTCCCAGTAGCACCTTGGCGACCCATGCCTGACCCAAGCCTAGGAACCCTTTCCCAAGGGTCAGGGGCCAAGTGACTAGCTTTGTAACTATCAGACATACTGTGATGGTCATCTGCTCTGTCCACAGACGGACTTCCTGGATGCATGTACATTCTCTGTCTCTTCCCTCCTGGACTTCCTGGTCGTGAAAATTCCGAAGTACGTTTTGTCATTCTATCTTGTGTGGATTTGATGATTTCGGATGCTCGGACGTGACGGAATTCTATTAAATCTTGGAAGGAGTATTTGTAATTGTGGCCAGGCTGAATGGCTACACCTGTTTTGGTTTTGAGAGCTTTGTAGAAGTCTGCACAACATTTGATGACACCATCTACCTGTAAAAGTCTAGCTACCTTCTCAACATCACGAACATTGTCTTCAGTTAGCATCATGAAGCCCTCGTATAAATACTGTAGGAATGTGTTGACTGATTCTTGTTTGATGTCGGCTGCTAGACGAACTTCTAGATGTGAACCTGCCGACGCATTCTCCATGGATTGAAGCATGGGACATGCTGCTATCAACACCAATCTGTGGGCCTACAAAATCAAAATAAGGACATTATAAGCAACAGTTCCATTTTTTTTCCCTTTTTAATATTCCCCCAGTGATCCATTTACAATTTATTTTAATGAGTCCTTTTCAACTGTATTGCTAAAAACAATGAGTCCCACAATGTTAAATTTAACTAATTCCAGAAATTCTATGAGTACAGGACTTGGGACTCGCATGTAGATTATCACTGTTCCCTCAAAATATTGTGCATTAAATAATAGATCCTATGTCAAAAGCTATATTTTTATTCAAACTAGAAAAAAGTACAAATATCAAAACAAAATATCAATAAATTGTGTATTTCCAAAATTTATGTATAAGCAGACCTAACTTGTTATCATCACCTTTGTTTGTCAGACTTACCTTGATAGTGACCGGCCCGGCCCTGATCAGCGCATCACACAGAAGCTGACTCTTCCATAAGTGTGACAGCTGACACAGCAGTGAGCTGGAGTGGATCTGGTTGGAATAGAATTTCTGGTAACTCATCTTGAAACCTGACTTCTTAAATCTGTAGCAAAAATAAAATTGAACAGTTAAAATAAAGTCCAGCTATTCAATAAAAAGCATACAAGTGAAGTAAAACAAGTAACTACTCCCATTCTTTTAAATTCATGCACCTGAATTTTTCACCACAAAATTCACATATTTACACCTTTCATTTAAATTTTGGCTTTTAGTGTAGGTTACCTCCCTTTATTCATTGTCAAAAGCTAAAATCAGTTATTCTAGATTTAACAGGACTTAGAATTACTTCCAAAGTAGGATATAGTCAAACTACAACCTATTAAGGCTGAAATGTTACATAAGACACATTCTGTTTATGGTTAAATATATCATTAACAGTAGCTATCTGCTGAGTTACAATAACAAGTATTCTTTGGCATACACTCAAGACATCCTTGGGGACTGACTGGTTCCTTAAATAACTAGGATTTTTAATCCAATAAGAAGGCAAATTTCCCGGCCTCAGACCTGTTGAGAAGGTCAAATGGCTTCAAACCAGTGCTATAGACAGGAAGGAAAAACAGAGAAAGCACAGGATCTATTGATATAATGATGGCGAACAACAGATATTATGTTTGCTGTCATTTTTTTAAAGATTATTCAAAGTTTTCAATAGTCAGAAAACAGATATTTCCCTTGCTCATATATATTCACACCTAAAAGCAAATTTGCTTTGCTCCATTTTAATTTTCTAAGCATTCAAAAGATTTACATCTGATATAGATAATAGTTGTATCAAAATGGAAATTTCTCGAGTTGAAGATATAATGTGAAATGTGCACAATATTCCAATACATCACCAACATTTTAAATTTTCCCCAAAGCATAGACTGCTACCTGACCATTTAAAATAATTCGGACGTTTGCCTGCAACAGGAAATGATGGAACTTTCAGTTCACCAAGTCTGTATCATGAATACCACCGAGGGGGGAAATGTGGTCACATGACAGGTCGTCACCAGTTCAGTCTAGAAATACATGTAGAAAATCACGAGTCTCGTGCTCATACTAGACCTTATATGAAGTTATTTCTAATGAGAACTTTTTATAAATCTCAATGGGAAAATTTGTGGACCAGTTCAGTATTTTTCCAATTATAAAAAGTTCTAATTAAGAATAACTTTCTATGGATACAGGACCCAGGATTTGCACGAAATTTATCACTACATTCATTTCCTGTTGCAGGCTAACATCCCAATTATTTTAAATGGTCAGATAGCATTCTATGCTTTGAGGGAAATTTGGAATATTGTGCACAATTCACATTAAATCTTCAACTCGTGAAATTTCCATTTTGATACAATTGTATTATCTATATCAGATGTAGATCTTTTGATTGCTTAGAAAATTAAAATCAGAAAAAAAACTTTCACTTTAAAAGCCCATTGGTCCGGGACATCTATAGGAAAACGTTTTTAAAGGGAAATTTCATCATAATAATTCAGCCTAGAGTTATAATAGTGCTTTCTGTCGTTTTATTTCAGAGTAAATATTAGATGCAGACAAAGTATTCAAAAACTGAGTATAAAATATGGAGAAGGCAATTAAATGGGACAGTCTACAAGAAACATAATTTTACTACTTCTTCCGGCCATAGTAGGATGGTCAACAATCGACAGAGATTATTTTAAGATGTTAATATTGTTATTCATTAAGTGCTTTATATATAAATAAAACTGACATTCTAAAAGACACACAAGAAATACAGAGGATTTTAATCAAATATCTATCCGTGACTTTGTCGTTTGAATATGGAATGCCGGTGAATACAGTAGGCCATTGTTAGGCCAAATCGGTTCACTTCCCGCTTCCCCATTCATTTGTAGGCCTCTAATCCAATAGTTGATTGACTGAATTTCAAAAACTTGCATCTTTGAGCTTTGAAAACAATCGAAATCTGTGTTGTGATATACTATGAGCAACAAACATTTTATAATAATTACTGTATGCTACAACGCAGAAACGGACGCTTTTTCATCACGCCGATAATTTCATGCAGAATGCCGGAAAATACGGCAATGTAACAAATCATACAATTCAACACGATATGTTGTCTAAATAGCGACAGATAGGAAGGAAATGACAAACTAAGACAAAATCTATAAGGCAATGACAACTTCAGTATTTACATCAATAATTGTCTGCTGAAAAAAATGCGAATAATTTTGAACAAAGCTTTCAAAATGGCTGTTCCCGGTGAACAGTCGGGCCTAACTGTTCACCGAGACATCGGCAGGGGATTTACAAATTACACTGAAATATTGCATCACAAAAACTTGCCTGAATTAGGGATAGAAAACGTTTGGATATCGATGCAATGTTTTCGGTAACTGCCTTTATCTTCTGATTAAATGATACTTCGTTCTTCGCAGGTTCAACTATTCCTTGGACCGGTCGCCATTGTGTTGTTCTATGGACTAAAGCGGGAAAGTGTGCCACACTGTCTCTGCGCAGAAAGTCTGCGCAGATAACACATTTATAGGCTCATTATAATTTTTTGTCGACATGAGGTACCTCAAGGGGGATATTAAATGGCGGTTTCAGGTAGGTTACACTATTATATTTACGTTATTTTATATATATTTACCCTTCAGAAACATTGACACCATAATCAATTTTCCACCTGCCAAAAAATTAAGTTAATTTTATTTCCAGTTTAAAATCATTTTTTATCCTCTACACCATCCAGACCCGAAATAAAATGCAACAACATTAAAAAAAAATCACAAGTGTTACATGCATATATAAGAATTTGTATAATGTTTATCCAGTTTATTCTAACATGATTTGTTTTATTTTTCGTTAATACTACATTTCGGGCTATTTCACACCTTATTCACTACTTACAGCGAGGGAAAAGTTTTATCTGAAACAAGTTCTTGCCCTTTAGGGACTGCGCGGTCATACTATCCCATACCTTTGGAATGGTGTACGTATCCCGACCGGATATGCCGTTTATGTCTCACATTTCACCCCTGAAAACTGTACAAAACCTATATAATAAACGGGGATAATATTACGGGAGAAGTCAATTGATAAGTTGGCTTACCGACTAATCCCTTTGTCAATATGTTGTCAATAAAATATGTTTAAACTAATATAAGTCCATGGTTACTTCACATAGCTCCTTGACGAGTTATATGGGACCTCTGACACCACACAGGTAATATAAGTCCACACATAACTTACATAGCTCCTGTACGTGTTGTATGGGACCTCTGACACCAGACAGGAAATATAAGACCATGGATAACATACATAGGGACGTGTTGTATGGGACCTCTGATACCAGACAGGTAATATACGTCCATGGATAACATACATAGCTACTGGACGAGTTGTATGGGACCTCTGACACCAGACAGGTTATATAAGACCATGGATAACATACATAGGGACGTGTTGTATGAGACCTCTGACACCAGACAGGTAATATAAGTCCATCTATAACATACATAGGGACGTGTTGTATGGGACTTCTGACACCAGACAGGGAATATAAGTCCATGGATAACATACATAGGGACGCGTTGTATGGGACCTCTGACACCAGACAGGTAATATAAGACCATGGATACCATACATAGGGACGTGTTGTATGAGACCTCTGACACCAGACAGGTAATATAAGTCCACGGATAACATACATAGGGACGTGTTGTATGGGACCTCTGATACCAGACAGGTAATATACGTCCATGGATAACATACATAGCCGTGTTGTATGGGACCTCTGATACCAGACAGGTAATATACGTCCATGGATAACATACATAGCTCCTGGACGAGTTGTATGGGACCTCTGACCCCAGACAGGTAATATAAGACCATGGATAACATGCATAGGGACGTGTTGTATGAGACCTCTGACACCAGATAGGTAATATAAGTCCACACATAACTTACATACCTCCTGGACGAGTTGTATGGGACCTCTGACACCAGACAGGAAATATAAGACCATGGATAACATACATAGGGACGTGTTGTATGAGACCTCTGACACCAGATAGGTAATATAAGTCCACACATAACTTACATAGCTCCTGTACGTGTTGTATGGGACCTCTGACACCAGACAGGTAATAAAGACCATGGATAACATACATAGGGACGTGTTGTATGAGACCTCTGACACCAGACAGGTAATATAAGTCCCCACATAACTAACATAGCTCCTGGACGAGTTGTATGGGACCTCTGACACCAGACAGGTTATATAAGACCATGGATACCATACATAGGGACGTGTTGTATGAGACCTCTGACACCAGACAGGAAATATAAGTCCATGGATAACATACATAGGGACGTGTTGTATGGGACCTCTGACACCAGACAGGTAATATAAGACCATGGATAACATACATAGGGACGTGTTGTATGAGACCTCTGACACCAGACAGGTAATATAAGTCCACACATAACTTACATAGCTCCTGGATGAGTTGTATGGGACCTCTGACACCAGACAGGTAATAAAGACCATGGATAACATACATAGGGACGTGTTGTATGGGACCTCTGACACCAGACAGGTAATATAAGTGCATGGATAACATACATAGCTCCTGGACGTGTTGTATGGGACATCTGACACCAGACAGGTAATATAAGTCCACACATAACTTACATAGCTCCCGGACGTGTTGTATGGGACCTCTGACACCAGACAGGAAATATACGTCCATGGATAACATACATAGCTCCTGGACGAGTTGTATGGGACCTCTGACACCAGGCAGGTGATATAAGTCCACATATAACTTACATAGCACCTGGACGTGTTGTATGGGACTTCTGACACCAGACAGGTATTATAAGTCCATGGATAACATACATAGGGACGTGTTGTATGGGACCTCTGTCACCAAACAGGTAATATAAGTCCATGGATAACATACATAGGGACGTGCTGTATGGGACCTCTGACACCAGACAGGTAATATACGTCCACACATAACTTACATAGCTCCTGGACGTGTTGTATGGGACCTGTGACACCAGACAGGTAATATAAGTCCATGGATAACATTCATAGGGACGTGTTGTATGGGACCTCTGACACCAGACAGGGAATATAAGTGCATGGATAACATACATAGCTCCTGGACGTGTTGTATGGGACATCTGACACCAGACAGGTAATATAAATCCATCTATAACATACATAGGGACGTGTTGTATGGGACCTCTGTCACCAAACAGGTAATATAAGTCCATGGATAACATACATAGGGACGTGTTGTAGGGGACCTCTGACACCAGACAGGTAATATAAGTCCATGGTTACTTCACATAGCTCCTTGACGAGTTGTATGGGACCTCTGACACCAGACAGGTAATATAAGTCAATGGATAACTTACATAGCTCCTGGATGTGTTGTATGGGACCTCTGACACCAGACAGGTAATATACGTCCACACATAACTTACATAGCTCCTGGACGTGTTGTATGGGACATCTGACACCAGACAGGTAATATAAGTCCATGGATAACATTCATAGGGACGTGTTGTATGGGACCTCTGACACCAGACAGGTAATATAAATCCATCTATAACATACATAGGGACGTGTTGTATGGGACCTCTGTCACCAAACAGGTAATATAAGTCCATGGATAACATACATAGGTGGACGTGTTGTATGGGACATCTGACACCAGACAGGTAATATAAATCCATCTATAACATACATAGGGACGTGTTGTATGGGACCTCTGACACCAGACAGGGAATATAAGTGCATGGATAACATACATAGCTCCTGGACGTGTTGTATGGGACCTCTGACACCAGGCAGGTGATATAAGTCCACATATAACTTACATAGCACCTGGACGTGTTGTATGGGACTTCTGACACCAGACAGGTATTATAAGTCCATGGATAACATACATAGGGACGTGCTGTATGGGACCTCTGACACCAGACAGGTAATATACGTCCACACATAACTTACATAGCTCCTGGACGTGTTGTATGTGACCTCTGACACCAGACAGGTAATATAAGGCCATGGATAACATACATAGGGACGTGTTGTATGGGACTTCTGACACCAGACAGGTATTATAAGTCCATGGATAACATACATAGGGACGTGTTGTATGGGACCTCTGACACCAGACAGGTAATATAAGTCAATGGATAACTTACATAGCTCCTGGACGTGTTGTATGGGACCTCTGACACCAGACAGGTAATATACGTCCATGGATAACATACATAGCTCCTGGACGAGTTGTATGGGACCTCTGACACCAGGCAGGTGATATAAGTCCACATATAACTTACATAGCACCTGGACGTGTTGTATGGGACTTCTGACACCAGACAGGTAATATAAGTCCATGGATAACATACACAGGGACGTGTTGTATGGGACTTTTGACACCAGACAGGTTATATAAGTCCATGGATAACATACATAGGGACGTGTTGTATGGGACCTCTGTCACCAAACAGGTAATATAAGTCCATGGATAACATACATAGGGACGTGTTGTATGGGACCTCTGACACCAGACAGGTAATATAAGTCCACACATAACTTACATAAGGACTATTTTATGGGACTTCTGACACCAAACAGGTAATATAAGTCCACATATAATTTACAAAGAGACGTATTGTGTGGACCATCTGTTACCAGGCAGGTGATATAAGTCCACATATAATTTACTAGGAGACGTATTGTGTGACCATCCGTTACCAGGCAGGTGATATAAGTCCACATATAATTTACAAAGATACGTATTGTGTGGACCACCGGTTACCAGGCAGGTGATATAAGTCCACATATAATTTACAAAGATACGTATTGTGTGGACCATCCGTTACCAGGCAGGTGATATAAGTCCACATATAATTTACATAGAGACGTATTGTGCGGAACATCCGTAACCAGGCAGGTGATATAAGTCAGCGGATAATTTACATGTGGCATAGGGATGTGTACATGCAGTGAACATATGCGGGACCCCGTTGTATAACACCAGACAGGTAATATATAAGTTTACGGAGGACTTGTAAAATGTCTGACACCCAGGTAAAATATAAGTCCTATTTCTCCGCTTATTGAATTTTTCAAAATATAATTTATACAGTGACTTCATAAATAGTGAATATAATAAATATGTTACTGTTCAACACAGGAAACAGCAAGATGAGACCTAAATAATTTAACCTCGGCACGTGCAGGGTTTTTGTTAATATTGCATGCATTGCTGCACGGTTCAATTAGCTAGATAGTTTACCTTCCCTTGATGCCCCGGTAATGTAATAAGCATAAAACTTGCGTTCGATAGTCAACATGTTGACAGAATGGGCGCATATCTAATACACAAGGCCGTCATGCTTAATAACCTACGAAGGACATCACCGGTAGAAGAGAAGATTTGGCGCCAAATTACCTTTACTTCTGAAATAAGCGCTGTAGCG